CAGGAAAACCACCCTCTGTAAAATTAAACAAAAAGGTTAGATGTTTGTGCGATCAGAAACTGACTTCTGAATCAATCAAATCACAGGTTTCTAAATTTGGTAAAGATATTTTCTATGCATGCATATGCACAGCAGTTCTGGAAGCAACTATACCAAACTACTAATGGGGCAACACTAGGATAGGAACAATACTTTTGTGTGCTTGTGTTTTAGTTTTTAACGAGCATCCATTACTTTTAACAACAACAACAAAAATCCTTTTAACTCAATAATTCCATCCCTGCAAACCTATCCGAAGGAAGTAACTCAAATACAGAAACACTTTTGGGTACAGGGATATCTGAGTCACCTGTAACAAGTAATATTACAAACTCCAGGAAATGGTAATAAATTATTGTAGACTATGGGCCAAACATGTTATGCTAGTGACTGGGCTGCTGACCTCCCCACTGCAGACTGTAGTTAACACAGGTAAAGAAATCCTACCCAGGATGCACAATCATTATGATCAAGCACCTCAGACACCTGAGAAGCTCCGTAAGCCGAGGTGCTCTGCTCACCTTGCCTCTATGGCGCCCAGTGAGGATGATGAGAATGGTCCCGGGAGTGATGCTGGCCCGGAGTTTCCTCACGTGCTGACTGAAGGGTTTCTTGCCGTGGCTCAGCAGCTTCCGAGGCACATCTTCAGTAGGATAGTATCTAGGCTGCAGAGAGTCCATAGGCCCAACTTATTGTCACCTTTGCTATTTACAGCCTTTTTACTTACTTCAAACACTTTATTTACACTATTGCATTTTTGTCTCTTCTAATTAGACTTTTAATTTGGAAAAGGTCAACACTTTATTATCTTTAAATGCAAAACACAGCATGAAATCCATTTAACTGAAGGAGCTGTGTGTTGAAGCAAAGACCGAAAGCACCAAGCAAGTTCCCTTTGTAAGCTGGGGATTAAATCAAACTTTAGGGATCACATGGCAAGCTAGTACTATACACTGCTGTGTAACAGTGATTCTCAAGCTCTTCTGGGGTCTGATCTTTAATGTAAATTATAGTCTCCAGAAAAACACGTCTGACAAACATTTCGCACGTCATAAAGGAGGCATGACTTATTTTCCAGTTCAAATTGTGCTCATATCCTTCGCATTAACAGGATCCCTCCCATTTTATCCACAAAGAAAAACAAATTGTACAAAGCCAGTTTAGATCTCCATTGCCAGTTCATTTATCATAAAATAGGACCCCACACAAGGACTATTAAGGATATAATAAGTACCTAACAATACTCAATTTCTAACAATACCATATCGTTTTAGTGGACAGTCTTCCTTTTACCCCAAACATTAACATCTGATAGAAAAACCAGCTCACACAACCTGTGTGACAAGGAGTCAAAGTGCCATTTTCCCACTGGTGCAGTAATAAACTTCAACTGTGAAGGGTGTAATAAATCTGGGGCTATTTCCATAATGGAATTTACAGAGCAAACCTTAAGAAAATGTCTTGTGTGTGGTCAAGAGAAGCCAAGAAATACTGCCCTAGTGGACAAATGTTCAAACACTGCTCTAGTGGTTTACGTTCTACAGGACTGGCAGTAACCCTAGGCTCTATGCATCCTTTAACTCACCACCACCCTGTGCGGCAAACCTTTATTCCTGCCTTAGGGAAGAAACATAAGACAGGAAAGTAACTCCACTTAAGATTAAAACAGTAANCTAGAACACGCATTACTTTTTGGGGAAAAAAGGCAATAAATAAAAGCTATTGAGCACATAGGAGTCAGGGTACATCCATTCATCTATTCATCGTAACACCCTTCATTAATAGCCCCATTTTCCAAGGGACTGAGGCTCAAAATTAAGTGAGGAATTGGCAGAATGGAGACTTGAACCCATAGCTGGCTCCATCCTGCACTGCCTCCCTCCCAAATCAATAATTCATAATACATTGCACTGTTGCAACCATCTTATGCTCCTTACAATGATTGTTAATGTCATTTTCACGATATTTATTCTACAAGCATTTGTTAAGCCCCTATAAGGTGTCAAATCCTGGGAGGTATATAGAATGGAGATCTATCTGAATACTTGAAATAATATATAAAAAATTGCTCTCAAAGACCTGGACAGCTAGCCTGATATATGTATAAAGTGTTCCACAGGGAGAATGCTATTTTTCTCTTATTCACTGAACAAACATTTCCCGATTCCTACCCTGTGACAGATATTGTTCTTGGTGTTGGGTTACCAGATTGAACAAAGTAGAAAAAATCTTCTCTCAAGGAGCTGACAATCTAGTGTTGGGAGACAGACAAAAATCAAAGTAACAATAAGTCCAGCAGTTCAGAGTAGACCAGTGCCATGAAAACAACGAAACAGGCAAATGTGACAAGAATTGCCATTGTATCAAATCCTCACAATCCTCCAAGAGAGGTAATATTATTGTTCCCCACTTTCGGCTGGTACACCAAGGCTCAAGGTCTCACAACCAGTGAGACTTTGCTCAAGGTCTCACAATCAGTAAATATCAAAGCTCACGTTTGAACTCATGTCTGTCTCATTCTATAATCCCAGCTTCCTTACGTTGGCTGTAAAGAAATCTCTTCATTGCTTTTGCTCACAACTTCCAAACCTAATGGCAACCGTTGCAATTTTTAAATGCTCACATTTGGGGATCTAAATGGACATTTGGTGCACCTCAGAGAAAAATTCTTCTCTTATTGTTTTTATTTCAAGATCAGGAGTCAAGATGCCCAGGAACTATTGTCTTTCACCCAATTAGTGAAAACAGCACATATCCAGGGCTGAAAGTCTTTAGACTGCATAATGAGTAGTTATTTAATATTTTAGCAACAGTAATTAATTAGTCATAGGATTGCATGGCTGCCATGATGAGGCAGCTGATGAATTAATATTTATAGAACCCCCTCTGGATAAGGCCATTTACTGGGAATTTCTAGAACAGATCAGCAAGACAATGGAAGTCCCTGGTCAAAAGAACTCTATATGCTGGAAGCCTGGAGATAGAGAATCCAAATTTAGTCAAGACAATACACACACACACACACACACACACACACACACACACACACACACACACTGCACACAGGAAACATCCATTCATAGACTCGTAGAATGGAAAGGTTTATGGTTTATGACTTCTCTTCTTTGAAATTGTTCTTTCTACACTTCTGTTAGAAAATAGGGGATCGGAATGGGAAAAGGAGGAATGGAAGGTGTTGGCTGGGTAACCCTAACTTGGAAGCAAAGAGGAAGCATGAGAAAGCAGGAAGAATAGCTCTTAGGAGATAGGACCTCAGTTTTCCCTTGAGACACCTCCCCAAGAGAGCAAGCTTGTTGAGGGAGACCATCTCCCTGCCGCCCCAGCTGACGTGATATTCACTGGCCTTGGCTCAAGTGGGGGCCCCTCTGGGATTTTGCAGTATCTCTCCCTTCGGCTGGCTTTTCTGTACCAGCTGACTGTCTAAAATGAGTCTGTAATCCTTACCCCGCCCACAAAAATGCGAGTGTTGCGTGAAGATAAGTGGTCCTTGATAAGCCTTAATAGAGCTTGAAATAGCTTTAAATAAAGCAGCCATGTTCAAAACGCCAAGGGAAGAAAACACACGCACACTTCTGCTAAATAGACACACACACTGACAGAACCTGTGGGGGAGATTGATTATTTCCATCTCACTAATCACAGTCTCAAAGAGGAAACACACACACCTACTCAAAATCTTTTTTCCAAGTGATCTGGTAGGTCCTGTTCTTTTTTCTTTTCTTTCTTTTTTTTTTTCTTTTCAAGGAAGAGTCTTTCTGCTCATGGGTGGGTCTATGAGGCAGCAGGGGAAAGAAATCGGATGTAAGAGATATTTGAAAACGAAGAGGGAGAAACTCTCTTTGGAGGCTTTGAATTACCCTAACTAAGGGGCAAGCCTCCACATTGATGAAAAGCCCAAAGACACAGCAGTATTAAGTGCAGCTCTCATTGGAGAAATCAGCACCAAGGAGCTCCGGAAGATGCCAAGTCCTCCAGCGCCCCCTTCTGGGCACAAGAGGTCTTGCTGCACAGAATTTCCAATTCTGACCTGAAAATTTGCACTCTCCGTCTGCAAAAACATAGATTAAGAA